AAAGAGCCATCTGAGGCTATTTCTCCTCTGGGCTAGGAAACTCTAACAACTCATGATTGTGGCTGACACTGGGCTGAAGGTGCCTGAGCTTAGCTGGAGCAGCAGCACTAACTCCAGGAGAAGCGCCTTGCTCCCTAGGGCAGGAATGAAGTTCACATGCCTGTGGGCTCCATGGGCAGCTGACACTGCTGTAGCCACAGAACTGCCTCTTTTCTTTGCTGGGAGGAAGGGAGGCAGGGGTAGTGTAGACATACCCTAATTGAACTATTTTTTTTTTAATGTTCTAAAAACTTGGGTAGCTGAAAGCATGAAATCACTTGGCCCTCAGCTTTGTGTATCTTATATTATATCTGAATCGTGCATGAAATTTAACCACTAGGAGAAGTATTGCGTCATGGGGCCTAATATGTACAGGAGATATTATTTTTATATAGCATGGAATATAAATATTTGTAGTGTGGTAAGTCATCACTTTAGATTTCCATTCTTAGGTACAAATTCAGATCATAGTTGCACAAATGTAAATTGGGACACCTTCACTGAGGTCAGAATTTGATGATTTATTTCACTAAAAAACATACAGCAAAATCTCATAACTGCATGTACACTAACAATATACATATTTGGACAGAACAAAGGGTTTCAGCAGATCGTGACCTTTCATGCAATATTTTACATGGCTGGCTTCTTATGAAATGGGTGATAATTTTATGACATGGGTGGATATGGGGGTTCCAGGATGCTCCTTCAAGGTACATGCCACAGTATTATTAGCCTAAACCCTTTAAATAAAATCTCTGCTCTTAAGTTAAACTAACACATCTTGTGTTTGCTTTTTAGGATTTTTGTGTTTATTTTCCTCCTCCGTACTTTTTATTTCTGACACATAGTCTCTTTCTTTTCCCCTTTTTGTTTTTGCTTTTCTCTCCTCTCATCTTTGCTCCAGTCTTCCATTTTAGTAGTCCGACAGGTTTTTCCTTTTACTATCATTGCTCTAACAACGATGTTTCAAAATCTGCCACTTTCTGGCAGAACTTTCTCCAGAGACTGATATTGTTCCATGAGTCAACTTAAAAGGGCTACTAGAGATCAACACAGGCACATCTTTCTTCACTCTGGGTATGTCTACACTAGCCACCCTAGTTCAAACTAGGGTGGCTAGTGTAGTCATTTGATATTGCAAATGAAGCCCGGGATTTAAATATCCCGGGCTTTATTTGCATGTTCCCGGGCGCTGCCATTTTTAAATGCCCTGTCGTTCGAACTACCTGCCCGTGGCTACACGCGGCACGGGCTAGGTAGTTCAAATTAAAGCTCCTAATTCGAACTACTGTTACTCCTTATTGCAGGAGTTCGAACTAGGGTGGCTAGTGTAGACGTACTCTCAGAGGCTGAATATGTTGCCTCAATAGCACTGTGGACCAGCTGACACAGAAAATGGAAGACCAAGCTTGGCCCTTCATTCTCATGTTCTGCCCCTAGTCTGCTGCTTGAGTCTGTCTTTCTCCATCTACATGTTTTGTTAATCTATAAAATGCTACCAGGCCATTTGTTGGGTTTTTTTTTTCCCATTTGTATGCTTCATCCCTGTTTCATTCATGGGTTGCATATTTCCTTTTGCCTTTCTTTCATGCCTCTTTGTCTGTCTCATCCTCATTTCCATGTCTTCCTCTGCTCCTGCTTCTGGCTTGCCTACCTCCTAGAGCAGCAGTTCCCAACCTTTTCCAGATGGGGACCCATTTTGACAATTCAGGAAGACTTGGTGACCCAAGGCAATTCAAAAACGGGGAGGTGGGGAAGAGGGGCAGAGCCACCTGGGGAGGCCCTTGGCAACCCTTTTGGAATGTAATGGTAACCCATATTTGGGTTGCAACCGATAGGTTGGGAATCCCTGCCTTAGAGGGACCTTGAAAAGTTAAACTCACTTAAGTCCAGTTATTTTCATTCTTTTCTTCCTGCTGGGTCACAAGGATGTGTGAATGATCACCAAAAATAGGGTGATCCTCTAATATTGTGGAAAGGGGCACTCTTGCTGGTAATGCTGGAGAAGTGTTATGCACAGCACCAATATATCAGCGGAATTCCCGTGCTGGGCTTTGTCTACACTTCTAAAATTAAAGTGCAGCCGCAGAAGTGCTTTAATGCAGAAGTGTGGTCACTGCACAAGCGCTGGGAGACAGCTCTCCCAGCACTCTAGGTAAACCACCTTCATGAGGGGAGTAGCTAACAGTGCTTAGAGCATGGCTCCCAGTTCTGAGAGCCCATTTACACTGGTGCTTTACAGCGCTGTAAAGTGCTGTGCTTGGTGAGTGGGCAAAGGGTGTTTTTTTCACACCCTGAGCCAGAAAGTTACACCGCAGTAAAGTGACAATGTAGACTTAGTCTTGGATTCTCTTGCAGATGAATCTTTTAAATGGGACCGTGAGACTGCATGGGAAGGTACAGATGCCAGCAACCCAGGGAGTATCTATCCTACTCTTTAGGAAGTATTTCCAGACATGCTGCTTGCTTTTGACTTATTTATTTTTTAATATTAAGGTTATTACAGGAAAAAATTTCCAACTTAGTCAATAGTCAGTTTACTTTGTGCTCGTTGCATATTTCTTTAAGCCATCATTAATTAAATTAACTTATTAATTAAATCAATACCAGGCTGCTGCTTGCAAGAGACAGTTATTTTGGTTGTTGAACTAATTGCCAGTCAGGGTTTCTGGATGGCATTCCCTTCACAATAAGGCTGCTAATTAATCTTGCTGCAGTTCTCACAGAAAGAAATGCTGATAAGAATATCATTAATTACCATAAGAAAGAAAATGTCAAGAGCCCTGTTGTGTTTTACTGGCACTCACTCCCAGTCAGATGAATATCACTATTAAATGTGGAGACAGATTAACTACTAAGTAGGAAAGCCAGTGTGCTATGACACAGCACCAAAACCACACAGATTTTATTCATGTAGGAAGCTGTATATTGAATGTCTGTTCACTCTTGTTTAATAACATTGACTGTTAGAGAGTCTGTGTACAAAAGAAATTTCAAATATTATGGTACAGGAATATGCCAAGGGTCCTGCAAGTTGCATAAAAAAATTCAGAGTTCTGTTATTCATAAAGTGTATAGACAAAGTAGATTAAAAAACTCTTTAAAGACATGGAAACAGATCCTCAGCTGACGCGTAGAAGCTGGCCTATAGTCTCCACTCAGAAGACCTTATAGTTTAATTTAGATATACCAACAGATACGTCAAGAAACAATTCAGACACAAAGGGATAGACACAGAGGCAGGAGCGGCCCGAGGTGGGCGATCGGCGCCCCCACCTGCAGGGCCGTCAATGGACTGATGTCCTCATCAGGCGCCCCATTGAAGGCAGATCCCTAGGCGGAGGCCGAGTCCACCTATAGTCATGGGCCGCCCCTGCACAGAGGTAGGTGTTATTACCTATTCGTGAAGACTTTCAGCAGTGGATCTGGTGCATCCAGGGGAACTCTGGAGACATGCAAGGCCTAGAAGCAGGTGCCAGTGCCCTGGCTCTGGATGTTATGAAAGCTGTTCCACTGGACGATGTGTTTTTTGGTGAAAGAAGTATTGGTTTTAACTTGTGATGTTTCAGAGTTGTTGTTTTTTTCTCTCTCCTGAACTTACAGGTCAGAAAATCCTTCACCACAGAAGTGATGTCTTAGAAACTGTTGTCCTGATTAACCCTTCAGATGAGGCAGTTAGTACTGAGGTAAGTCAACTGAATATGTAATATTGAATAAGTCATAAAAGCATCATAAAGGTATATCTACATAGCAACATTATTTCAAAATAACTAGCATTATTTTGAAATAACTTAGTCCACGTGTACACAACAGGCAGTTATTTTGAAATATTGTCAGGCTGGAGGACTTCTTACTCCGACTCCTATAACCCTCATTGTATGAGGAGTAAGGGACGTCGGAGGAAGAGTGCTCTATTTCCAAGTAAGCTGTGTGCCATATGCTCCTAATTTCAAAATAAGCTATTCTGAAACAAGCTATGCACTTGACGTGCCTCAATTTGCATAACTTATTTTGGGCCAAGCCCTGCTGTGTAGACACAAACCCCAGTGAATAAGATGAGAGGGTATTCTGACTGGATAAATTAATATGTGGGAGTGAATGTCATTAAAAATGTCAGTCTTCTCTTATCTCTTGTTCTTGCTTCCCTTTCTTATAATAGGAGCTTAAAGGGCATAAACTAAAAATATTTGTATCTCCATTCTCAGCATTACATTTCCAGTAACCCACTAAAATCTTTTTGAGAAAGTGAAAGCAGCTGCAATGAGAGCTCTTGTGCTGCTGCTCCTGCACCTCTACCCTGCTTGGTTCCGTATGTCTTTTTTAATCTTGGTATAAACCAGGTCATCTGAGATAGTTTTAACTCTTTGAGAAGGATTATCGTGTATATACCATCTTTCCTACAAGAAATTGCATGCCGTGATCAACAGAGTTTGATCACAGAACAAGAGATCTCTAAGCCCTGCATACTCTTTAAAAGAGGGTCAAGGAAACAGCTATGTATTTTAGGGACACTTCTTAGGGTACGTCTACACAGCAGGACTAAAATTGAATTAAGTTACGCAATTTGAGCTATGTCATAACTTAATTCGGCTTTTGGTGCTGTCTACACAGAAGGAAGTCGAAGAAAGAACTCTCTTCCTTTGACTTCCCATACTCCTCATAAAATGAGGGTTACAGGAGTCGAGGTAAGAAGTCCTCCAGCTCAACATTATTTCAAAATAAACGTCAGTTATTCCAAAATAACACTGCTATGTAGACATACCCTTAGAGAGAAAGTAACATTCCATCAGGGAAGAAAGATCCAGGAAGGTATGTCAGATAAAAATAGCAATTTTTACTCTTAACAAATAATTTTCAGTGTGTGTATAGATGATCCGCTTTGAACATATTGGAAATATAAAACCCACAAATGGGTATTTTTTTTGGCCAGAGGGGTGATTTTAATTGCTGTACACCAAAGAAGGGATTCTTACTAACATTGTGTAACATTAAATATACATAATTAGAAGGAACAATCAACATGTTTAAACCTTTAAAAATCAAGTGAGTCGTCTTTGTTACAATCTCTGTTATTTCCTCTTTTTTTCCTGTAATAGAATCACTAAAATTGCATCAAATTAATTTAATGAGAAAAGAGTCAGTTCAGGTGGCAACTCTTAGGTTCTGCTGTGAAAGTCTGATCCCGTTTCTTCTTACAAATCAGGGGAGGGGAACTGGATCTGACCCTCGAGGCTCAGGGCCCTTCCCAGCTTTGAAGAGCCCACATACCAGTCCCTTGCTGTCTCGCTGTGGGTCTGGAGCACACAAAATCTACTAGGAGGGACTCTAATGTGTGAGGGGCATGTGGGCCCCCAACGGATTTTTCTGTAGGTCAGTGGTCCCCCCCTCCAAAAAAACCCAAAAACGGTTCCCCACCTCTATAATAAAGGAAGAGAAACATAACAAAGAGGGAGAGGGGAGAGAAAGGTAAAAGTTCAGAAAATGTAGCTTCTGTCTGAGGCTTGCAATTCAATTAATGAAAGACCATAGGAAAAGCAGTTGCCATGCAAGCCAGTTAGTGACTCCTGCACCCTGGCTTTACTCCCTTGGCTCTGGAAAATCTTTTGGTAGGTTACTCTTAACTCCCTCTGAGCAGTATGTAGAAGGTAAAGACTCCCTCCCCAAGATTGAGTTGATCATCACTGCTTTCATCCTGCCAAACTGGTCACTGCCAATGTTACAGGATTAGATTTATCTTGGCTAGCTAAGACAGGCTCTCGTTAGGCCAAAAATCAAAATTAGAAGTAAGAAAGGTAGAAGGAAAAACATGGGAGTAGAAATAGCCATGTCGCTCCACTATATGTCAGGCAGAAACATTAGGTTTGTCTCAGAAGTAGCTCAGGACACAGCTAGGGAAGAGATAATCTCATCTGGTTCCATCTACTTATCAGGCAGGACAGAATATCTGTCAGAATGGGAAAGAAGAATGCTCCTGATATAATTGTAAATCCTTAGGACTTGACCTGTAGTAGTAATGACTGTGTTAGTTGAGAGTGGGGAACCTCAGGCTCAGGGGCCAGATGTGGTCCCCAGCTTGCCTGGATCCAGCCCTCTAAGGCTCAGGGCTCCCCTAGTATTGGAGAATATGTGCTGGCACTGCAGCCCCCTTTCTGCCCCACCATAGGACTGGATGTACACATAATCGACTAGGCTGGCGCTCCACTCCCCCCGCCCCCTCCATTGGCTCTGGTGTATGAGTGGAAGTGGAGAGTATCTTTCTGCTTCTCGGGAGTCAGTGAGGACTCAGTGAGGATCTTTGTTTGTTTGTTTGCTGCTTCTCACTTGTGTGCCCCTGACTGATGTTTCTGTGGGTCAGCAGCCTCTGACACAAAAAAAGTTCCCCACTCTTGGTATTAGTGTACAGGTTAATGTACTGAGTATGATGTGACCTGGTTCAGTAAGCTGCAGCTACTTCCTAGAAAAGAACAGGTGATTAGTATTGTGCCATTGAACTGCCAAAACAAAATAAATTTCCCGTGTATCAGTATATGGACAGTTTATCTTACCTTAAAAAGATTCTGCTCTATTGCTGTAACAATTTTATAATTTTACTACATCTGAAAAACCTCTGACTGGTTATTCATTTGGGCCAGACACATAAAACACCATATATTTGACTTAATTCTGGGTTTTCTTTCAGCAGCATGTATATAAACTTAATTGACATCCTGATATTTTCACTTACTTTGAACAATATAGGACTTCAACAAGGATAGGGTTGAACACAATAGATCTTTAAAATTTTATACTATCTTAAAGTATTTTAAAGTAATGATTTAGTATCAACATTCAGAATTCTGGAAGTCCTCTACTAGGCCATCAGTATGCTCATGTATCTTCTTTTCTCATTTTTTTTATGCATGTTATGTATTATGGTCTCAAAATTGCAAGTATTTTTTTTGTTTCTTCCATAGTTCTTTATCTTTGTATAAACTCTTCAATCATTGGTTAAACAAAATGAAGGGGAATTATCATTGGTTCATATAATTGTGTATCATTGGTTTGTAAGACAGGAAGTAATTTTGTGGCTGGAAAAGCTGGTGGCTGTATACATAAACTGTCTGACTGCCCAGAACTGCTCCTGCAAAGAGAGAGGGAAAAAATAGAAAGAAAGCCAGTTCTTTAATGGAGTTTTAATGCAGCTAAAACAGATGAAATTTGAGTGACATATATGGGACAGCTGAGTGCACCTATCAGTGTTCTCTTCTGAAACAGAAATCCTTGACCAACCAAGTATATTTTGGGATTTTACCATTACGCACAATTAGTGACAAGCAAGGATTAGGCCTGCTTTTAATTACCTTCTGCTGTTCAAAGTTGACGGCCATTGTTTAGTAAGATCAAAAATATCCTGATCCATACTTTTCCAAAGAAGAGTGAAAAGTTAAAATAAAAAATTTACAACGGACCAACCTTGGACAAGTTTTATGAACTTAAAATAATTTGCCGAGTTCATGAATTCCCATGTGCCTTAAAATTCATCTGTTTCTAACTTTAACCAATAGGAAATAGTCATGCACACAATCTATACATTTTGGTGGCCCCTTTCAACTCAAAACAGAGGTGTTGAACAGAGATTTAGGTCAATACTGTATCCTTCCTGGTGCAAGATGGAATAATTTAGGGCAATTGATTAGGTAGCAATCAATATATGAAGTTATAAAACTGGCTGCTGGGAGTGGTGAAGTAATTGCATTGCCTCCATAAATATGCTGTTTTCTGGCTTAGAAACATTTTGCAAAAAAAAAAACATATTCAGGAAAAAAGTTCTTTACACAGAACTCAGTTGGATTTAAGTCATTTAGCCAGCAGACATTCTCTAGATCTACAAGCTTCACTTTGACAAAAGGCTGTCAAGTTTTGCAGAGCAGTGGTAAAACTTGGGAATTATCCAGCGACAGTGAATACTGTTTTGAAACTGAAAATGGTCTGTAATGGTAAAGAGTATATGGAAGGAGAGAGAGAATAGTAGTCAATATCTACTTTAAAACTCCAAAAAGTTGTTCTATCAGTGGTAATCTCTTTGATCCAGCAGGCATCCATATAATTTGCTGATGTATATTCAGAAAAATGTACTGTGCCAACATAGTGCAAATTGCAGTACAGGCAGTCCCCGGGTTACGTACAAGATAGGGACTATAGGTTTGTTCTTAAGTTGAATTTGTATGCAAGTCGGAACTGGTACATATTGTAGGGGAAACTCTAGCCAAACATTTCTCCAGAGCTCAGTTTTATTCTCCCACACCTCACTTCCCTCAGTCCTTTATTCTCAAGCTGAGGTGTCTGCTGAGAAAAGCCGCTCCGCGTCTCCCTGGTCTGCTGGGGGGGGCGCTAGCTTCGCGTCTCCCTGGTCTGCTGGGGGGAAGCAGCTAGTACGGGGTTGCCTCACCCCGTTTGTAAGTAGGGATCCGATGTAAGTCGGATCCATGTAACCTGGGGACTGCCTGTATCCACTTTTATTTGACTGAAGGCATCACACAGATTGTGTCCCTGACTCTATTTCCTATTGGTTAAAGTTAGAAATGGGTGAATATTAAGGCATATGAGGGTTCATTAACTTGGCAAATTATTTTAAGTTCACAAAACTAGTCCAAATTTGGTATTCATTCATTCAGCCCATTGCATTTTTTTTATTTTAACTTTTCACTCTTTTGCACACTTTTCACAGTCTCTTCAGTTTTATTTTTTTCATTATGTAATCCTTCTGCCAGATAGTAGGCCGGGTTCAGTATCCAGGGGTTCCTTTTCATCCATCCCCCACAGAACTAGCTCTAGACTCCACCCAGTAGCCTGAGAAATTCACACACACCCCTGGACGCCTCTGAGAGGCAATGCTTCCCCACTCGCAAACACAGAGTCTGAACGTAGAAAAGAAACCTTTAATGAAAGAGGAAGAGAAACAGCATGGCATTAACTTGGGAAAACACCACAAACAGAGTTCATAACAAAATGAAGTGGATTTAGCGATGTCCTTTGCCCCTCAGGCTCCGAAGTCCAGCAATGTAAGTGTCCCATTCACATGTCCAACCTTTCTCCGTACCCCACTCACAGTTGCTGCCCTTGGTCAGGGCAGACCAGAGCTCAGGGTGATTTTCAGAGCTCACCTCCTACCTTTGGAGGGGGAGGGGAAAGAGATAGGAGGCATCTCACCCACCCCATTGGCCACTCGCTGCTGCATAAAATAAAGAGACCCTTTATGGTGTCTCTTTACAATTACAGTGTCTCGCCCACAAGCACTGGTATCATATTTTACAATTTTTAGGTTTAGAGTTAACGTGGTTTGTGACCCCACAACAGACAAATTAGTTAAAACAGGCAAAATATCATTCTAACAACTGAGCATTCATCAGGTCTATAGCTCTGGCTGAACTGGATTTTTATCAGCACACCCAGGATTTATTTCCCATCCCAGCATGAACTGTATTTACATAACAGTTGAATACCTTTCAGGGCTAAACAATTGAATGAGCATAAACACACCTAGGATTTCTGTCCCCTTCCAGCTGGCTGCATTGGAAGTAGTAATTCAGACCCTGCTTACAATTATTTCTGCACTCCACTGATTTTTTTTATCCTCTTCCCTTTAATTTTTCCTTTGTTTTCTTTTGGTTTCTTTTTTAAGTGAGACAAGCGAGGTATTCTGGTGTAACTCTTCCTGAATGCCAGTGGAATTGCAAGGGCTAATTTTGGCCCGACAAAATTCTGGTATTCACATCTTCTCATTAACTATTGGGAATAGGCCACATCCATCCTGATTGCACAGTCCAGGCCCCGGCTTCCCACAACTCCCATTAGGTGGGAATGGAAAATCTCAGCCCCTGGGAGCTGCGAGCAGCTGTGCCTGTGGACATTCAGGTAAACAAAGCATCTTGTGGCCTACCAACAGCTAACTCTATGACAAACTATATGTGTCCCTTGGGCCGGAGGTTCACCTATTTGTGCTGCCTCCCTTTTTTGAGGGGAAGAATCTTTTACTGGACCACCAACTGGTGTTGGTAAAGGATTCAAGCCTTCCCAAATCTGAAGAAGAGCTCTGTGTAAATTGAAAGCTTGTGTCTCTCACCAGAAGAAGTTGTTCCAATAAAATGTTACTTTACCCACCTTGTTTCTCTAATATTCTAGAGCCAGCATGGCTACAACATAATCTTTTAAAAATATCATTTATCCATAGAGTAGACACCAACTAATGTTTTATTTGAAACTTTGATGTTGGGGCAGGAGTTAGAAATTAGGCAATGCTTGATTTGGACAGAGAGAGGAAGATTGGAAATGTGGTAGCTACATTTATTTTTGTGCTTTTGTTTCTCATCTTAGGTGCGCTTAATGATCACAGATGCTGCAAGACACAAGCTTCTTGTACTAACTGGTCAGTGCTTTGAAAACACAGGAGAGCTCATCCTCCAATCAGGATCTTTCTCATTCCAGAACTTCATTGAGATCTTCACTGATCAAGAGGTTTGTCTTTAACAAAAGAAAAAAAAATCTTTCATTGCATTTTAGCCTTGTTGTACTTGAAACTAGTATTGACATCTCAGTGAAGGTTTCCTTTAGTCATCTTTACACAATTTTCTTCAAAATGTCAAATTAACTAACTATAGTTTGATGTAACAACAAAATTAAATTTTAATTTGGCAAATTGCAATAATAACTTTTAAAAATAAAAAAGCAGAGAGTCTTTTAACAAATAGAAGATAAAAATTCTCATGACTAAAATGTACAGCTTATTTATTCAATATACTTTTACAATGCAACCCAATTAAGTTTATATCAATTCTTTTCTGATAGCAGCTATGTGGTAGATCACATTAAAAAAGACAGACCGTAATCTATAGGCTTAAGATAGGTATGTTTACCACGTATCTGTTTGTTTTTGCTGCATAGTATTTAAAATTCTGTATATGAAATGTGTAAAGTGTTTGTTATGTAACAAACATTATCACCAGTAAGTACTCCGGTATTTAATTCAGTTTGTTTCTATACGCATTACTCTGTTTTCTTTTTTAATACACTATCTGCAAGCTCTCCCATAGGTCACAAAGACCCATGGTAAACCCAAACTTTATTTTTCAGCATTTATTTATTATTTATTTAAAATAATAAATAATAATTACCCACCTTGTTTCTCTAATATTCTAGAGCCAGCATGGCTACAACATAATCTTTTAAAAATTATGGGGTATTTTTACCCCGCCTCTCTATTTAAAATATTTAAGGCCGCTTACCACATTTTTTAAAACACAATACAAATATATATAAAAAATTAAAGTATGAGACCCCAGAGGGACACAAAATCTGCTAAAAACGTCTTGAGAGGAGGAACACACACACAGACTTAAGCCAAGCTGCTGGGTCTAAGATAGACCTGGTCTCAGTAAGAGCTAGTCTAGTTTAGCTCTCAATTTTAGGGATGCAGTTCCCATTGAAGAAGGTGGGAGCCATGCGGTACTATCAAGGGAAGAACTGGATTCCTGATATCTGAAACCAGTGTGACATCTGAAAATTGCCATCAGGTTAAGAATTAGCCTGTGTGACAAGGTATAAACCACAATATATTACATTTCTCACTGACTAGTAAATGAGATTTTAACAATGCATAAAAAATTAAGGCCAAATCTTATCCTTATTTGTAAAAAACCAAACTGCTGAAAATCAAAAGGAGTCATCGGCTTGGCTGTTAGTTACAGGTGTTGTGGGGATGGTTCAGGGTGACAGTTACTCTGAATGGTTGGGCACTTTCTGCTGCCCTTTAAATAGCAGTAGCGTGTACTCCTGGCTAGTATTTGCTAATGGCAATATACATACTAGCTGGTAGGAGCCTAGCCATGCTCCTTAAATGGGCAGTAGCTCCTTATGGGTTGTGATATACCAGTTGGCAAAGTTACTTTAGAGGGTTAGGGGGGATACTATGCCTTGTTGCTCCCTTAACACAGCATTGGGTAAGATTAGACCTATACTATGAGAGATACCTAAAAGCCAGATTCCCCCCAGCATTGTCTCTGTGGGGGCCAGGGGAGGTAGAGGCACAGTGGAAATGGTGTGAGCAGGGACTAAAGCAGTCTCCGCTTGTGCTGCTTCTGCTGTGATTTTGCTTTTGAAATGTACAAGAGCCCTAGCGGGTTAGTTTATACCCAGACTACTTTCTTTTCAAGCTCACTTGTCCCTCTCAAAAGGAACCTGTTGTTGACTCTACATGGGCTGTTCTTAAATACGTAATTGCCTTCTCAAAAAGCTAGTATCTGCCAACATAACAAATGGTCTGGTAACACTTTATAGACTAACAAAACATGTAGATGGTATCATGAGCTTTTGAGAAGAAGTGGGCTGTTGATACCATCTACATGTTTTGTTAGTCTGTACAGGATAAATTTAAAAAACAACAAATGGTCTGGTAGCACTTCATAGATTAACTCAGCTACCCCCTGAAGTTTCTTTGACACAATTTATCCTGATGAATAGGAAAAAAAACTTCAGAAGCAACCTTTGGGAGCAATAGAATATTAAAATATTATTGGATCTTTCTGAGGATGTCATACCATTATACCAATGTTGCACAAACTTTTCCTGTTGCACTCCTCCCTTACCAGTAATGGAAACTGTCCCTCCACCTTCCATAACTGCATAGTTGGCTCAGCTGATGAGCTTGGGCTGAAGTTAGATCCAACAGAACTGGGAATGGGGGAAAGGCTGGGACTTGAAGTGAAGCTGGCCTGGTGGTAGAAAGGGAACAGGGGTTGAAGTGGGGCTATGGAGTGTATTCCTGAACTTGCTGCTCCACACCGAAGGGATTTGTGTCTAAAACTGCTGCTTACTCACTTTTTCACTGGTCAGTGCTACAAGTGGTTTAATGTGATCACATACTTATCCCTCTCATTAACATAAAACAAATCTTGAATGACTGTTTCCTTCCAGACTGCAGACCATCAACATCACTGATTTAGTGACCACTCGTACCCACCTTTTTCCCATATAACCTTGTTCTTGTCAGAAAATTGTCCCTATGTGGGAAACAATCTGCACCCAAATCAGAGAAGCACTGAATGATTTCATTATCCTTCTATCAAACTTTGTCTTATTGATCTGAATGAAGCAAACTTCATGCCACTTTATCTTTCCATAATACTATATTTTTATAGACTGAAACTTACCCCTGAGCAGAGGCCCAGCACAAGGAGTTAGTGGCTATCTTTATCCTGCTCAGAGCTATGCATGAATTTGAATTTTACTTTTGTGGTTTGCCTGTCCTTGCCTCCTCTGTCTCCACCCTTCCTTTTCTTTTTTTCTCTGTGATTGCCCTTAATATGGCTCCCCCATTTTCCTTACTCTTTCTTCCTTTTTCCCCCTCCTTTTTTGTCCTGTCTTTACTCTCTTCCAATTAAAGTTATGTCTGACATTTGAATAAGATGTGTTTATACTCCTATAAATTGGCTTATATACTTAAGGATAATGTTGGACATAAAATAGATGTTTTTGAATTTTATTCCTTTTCTGCTTTTTTTTACTTACCCATATACATTTGAGTAGAGTATTTTTGTCTGGATAACCTCCATCACCTCATTCTGTGCTTGTTAAATTTTACTTTAATTAAATTCTGAAAATATATTCCATAACATAACAAAAATAAGAGAGCAACACACACAGATCTTCAGAGCTCCACTGAAATGAAACATCTCCTGGATATAACATTAATTATTTGTAGTACTCCACATTCCTCTTGGTAATCTAGTTTATAGTCTAACATTTTCAGCTTATTCAGGTCTATTCTAAATAATCTATTTTGAAGTCTTTCTTTAGATGTATATTATAATTGACTGTCCCTGAAAGGTACTTCGTAATATTTTGCAAGATGGTCATATGTTTTGATTACATTTGCAGTGTTATTGAAGCTATGTTGGTCCCAGGATATGAAAGAGACTCAGACTCAACAGAGAATAAGAGCTCTCTGAAACTTGAGAGCTTGTCTCTTTTGTCAACAGAAACTGGTCCAATGAAAGACATCTCAGCTGCTGTGACTGTCTCACAAATTGCATTGACATTTGGTCTCATATTCAGTTATTTTATGACCTGTTTGGGGCAACATGTGGATGGCTTCAGTTCACAAGCTGTTAAACCAGATACCTTTTTAACACATTCCCAAAACAAAATACAGTAAACTTCCGATAATCCGGCACCTTTAGGACCCGGGGGTGCCGGATTATCAGATATGCCGGACTATCAGAAGGGGGGGCTATGAGGGGTCTGGAGTGGAGTGGGAGGGGATGCCACCCTATACCCCTCATAGCCCCCCTTCCGATAGTCTGGTGTATCTGATAATCTGGCATCCCCTGGGTCCTAAAGGTGCCGGATTATCAGAAGTTTACTGTAATTCATTTTTTTTTAAAAGATGCTTGAACAATGTGTAATATATTTGTCATGAGTGAGTTGAAGTCTCCTTCATATATTTTATTTACAATAAAACAAATGGAAACTCTGTAGAGTGCGTATATTATCCTATGATTGGGATTTAAATCTTGAGGCCACACCAGGTGTGTAAAAATCCTTCTTGCTGATAGGGGGCAACTGAAATTCAGTCAGACTCATGTAGCTCATTGATCCTAGTAAGTGCAATTTTGTAAATTGCCAATTCAAAATACTAAGTACTAAGTTATTCAGGAGTTCTTAATCCTTCTCTTCTGGTGACAGAGACAGTAGTGAGTGAGTGCAGTACCATTTTATTGCTGTTCTTCCAGTAGGCTCCCAGTGGTGGCTAAGGAGAGATTCTCTATTACCATGTCACTGTTTAGCTGCCCTTTTTAGTTGCAATATGCTTTTGTTTGGAAACCAAATATCCTGTAATGTCTCTCAATCAATTATTAGTCACGATTAGATCCTAGTCTGGGAAGACCATTATCTACTTTCAAGACATATATACTTTACTGTCTGTGCTAGATATGAAAATTTGGAAAGCCAAGAGAAACATTTAATGTCAGATTCTGTCCTTGAATGCACATATGCAACAACTGTTGACTTCAGTGGGCATTTTCATGTGTATCCAATGCTGGAATTTGGCTGGTGTGCTTTTTTGCATGCCAATCTCCAGGACTCTTTCTGTTTACAGCCATTTCCTAGCTGTGTTGATTTCTGAACTTCGAGAGCTAACTGAAAAGAAGAAATTTGTCAATGAAGTGTTGAACTATTATGTGCTTTTATTTTCAGTTTTCTAATCTGAGACCACCACACACATATCTTTAATTCAGACTGGAACAGCACAATAGATTTTTGTACTAGAACACAGAACCTTCTGTTCATAGAACCCTTCAGTTCAGTATCTGTTTTGGGTCTCAGAATGTTATTCAACACTGGAGAAATGAGGGGAGTTATTCCAGGTTTAAACTGGTAAAATAATTTAGAATCTGGTCCATGATTTATTAAATCAAAATAGCCCAAAGGATTTTTAGCCATCACACTCAGATGTGTTTCTCTTTTACTCTGAGTTTACATTGATATATGATGTGTACTCTGTTATTCAGAGATTAATTACTACACATGCAGTGTTCTTAAAAGGCTATAAATGGCACTTGTATTATCTAATATACAATATACTATGCAGTCCACAGTTCGTCAAAATGTATATATTTTCAAAATTGCGGTTACTAAGAATATGCAGCTCTGCCTCTTTAATTCCCATATTTCAGAAACCTAATGATCTTGAAGAGCTGAGAACAAAACTTCTGTTTGTACCTGTGAAACAGTAAATCTGCTCCAATAGGTCCTGGAACTGCTAGGGCTTCCTCACTTCCTGGCTTGAAATGATTTCCATCATATACAAGGTTTTACAGTTTGGTTTAGTGATTCTCTGTACCCCTACTATGCAACTTTTCCAGCACCCGTGTCAGCTCCCCTTTTTGTCAAAAACTGGCCAGCAGTTAAACAACTTCTGGCATAATGCCTGCTTTTTTTGGAGCCAGACCATTCAAAAGGCATTAAAATAATGACAGAATTTTGGAATATAGCCCCATATTGAGAATGAGGAAGCATCCTACTCCAACAAGAACTCCAGGAGGTATTGTGGTTCAGATTCCTTATGGAGCTCCTATAGCGTACCAATATATCATACCCTGTAAAGAGGGTATAATGCAGAGGTGGGGAACCTTTTAGGGTCAAGGGCCATGGACCCACAGAAAAATCAGTCAGGGGCCGCAAACAAGCGAGAAGTAAAAAACCCCAAAATCAACCCCTTACTGATGTGGCCTCCAACTGAGAAAGAGACAGACATTCCCCACATATACCAGAGCCTAGGATGGCACATTCTAGTAGATTGTGTGCTCTAGCCCCACAGTGGAACAGCGGGGAGGCTGGAGTGCCAGCGTAGGCCCCTCAATGCTTGGAGGAGCCCTTAGCCAAGGGGGCCAAATCCAGTCAAGTCAGTGGCTGCATCCGGCCCCCAGGCGTTACGTTCACTGGTATAATGTGTGCTCCCCTGGTTGGTTAGGAGAAGTGGGAGAGGCTTGCAGTTCATTTCCCGAGAGTAGCACTACTAGCAGCACCAGCACCATGGAATTCTCACATTAGTCTCTGAACATAAGGACTCTCATTGTCAGGGCTCCCCAAGTGGCGGCAAGCCCCACTCGCCAGCCGCGCGGTTTTGCGCAGATCGCTCTGCGCCAACACTTCCGGGTTGTAATCTACTCGCCACAAGTGAGTAGATTACATTATTTGTCAAGCTCTGCTCATTGTACCCAGCCTCTCTGAAGGATACAAGAGGTGCCTTGAGCATCTAAGAAGAGGCCAGGCACTGTCTGGTCCTCTGAATTTAAAAAACTGTACAGCAATAAGCTAATAGTAACAGATTCCTTTGGCACCTAGAATTGGCTGCTATCATGTGAAAAAAGAATACAAAGGAATGTTGTATCAATAGTGTGAAGCTCATACTCTAGTTTGTACTAACTCAAGGCCAGCACTGCTATGTTACTATTTATGAGACACTTCTATGATAAAATGTACATTTACATCTACCTTTTTTCTTTTTGTTTTACAATGCTAGATTGGTGAATTATTGAGCACCACACACCCTGCCAACAAAGCCAGTTTAACTCTGTTTTGCCCCGAAGAAGGGGATTGGAAAAATTCAAACCTTGACAGGCATAATCTTCAAGACTTCATCAACATTAAACTCAACTCAGCATCTATATTGCCTGAAATGGAAGGACTTTCTGAATTCACAGAGTATCTGTCAGAGTCAGTAGAAGTGCCATCACCCTTTGACATTTTGGAACCACCAACATCTGGAGGTTTCTTGAAGCTGTCAAAACCCTGCTGTTATATTTTCCCAGGTGGAAGAGGGGACTCTGCATTGTTTGCAGTGAATGGATTCAATATGCTTATTAATGGGGGATCCGAAAGAAAATCTTGCTTCTGGAAACTTATCAGACATTTAGACAGAGTGGATTCCATTCTGCTCACCCATATTGGGGATGATAATCTGCCGGGAATTAATAGCATGCTTCAGCGAAAGATAGCTGAGTTGGAAGAGGAACAATCACAAGGTTCTACTACCAATAGTGACTGGATGAAAAATCTGATCTCACCTGATTTAGGAGTTGTATTCCTTAATGTTCCTGAAAATCTGAAAAACCCCGATCCTAATTTTAGAATAAAAAGAAGCATAGAAGAAGCTTGTTTCACTCTCCAGTATTTAAATAAGTTGTCTATGAAACCAGAACCACTCTTTAGAAGCATAGGAAATACCATTGACCCTATCATTCTATTTCAAAAAATGGGAGTCGGCAAACTTGAGATGTATGTACTCAATCCAGTCAAAAACAGCAAAGAAATGCAGTATTTTATGCAGCAGTGGACTAGTACAGGTAAAGATAAATCTGAATTACTGCTGCCAAATGGTCAGGAAGTAGATATTCCAGTATCCTATTTGACCTCAGTCTCTTCACTGATCGTATGGCATCCAGCAAATCCTGCAGAAAAAATAATCAGAGTTTTGTTTCCAGGAAACAGTACCCAATATAACATACTTGAAGGACTGGAAAAACTCAAACATTTAGACTTCCTTAAACAACCAGTGGTTACACAAAAAGACCTAACTGATAACATACCTAGCCCAGCAGTGAAACAAGCAAAGCCGAAACAGCGAACAGACAGCAAGGAAAGTCTCAAACCTGCCACAAAGACAGTAGCAACCAAGACAGTCAGAAAAGAATCTAAAGAGGAAGCATCTGAACCAGCAAAGACTAGTCCTCCAGAAAAGCCCCAGAAAGTGGAAAATAAGGAAAAGACAACAGTAAAAAAGGAGAAACTAGCAAAAGCAGAGACAAAACCTTCAATAACAGAAAAAGATATGACAGCTAAGGAGGAACAGCTAGTGAAATCTGAAATTGCTGAAAAACAAGCAGCAGATGTCAAACCAAAAGTTACAAAGGAAAAGCATGTGAAAAAGGAAGTGAAAGTAAAACCTGAAGAAAAGAAGGAGGAAAAAGAAAAACCAAAGAAAGAGGTTTCTAAAAAAGAGGAGAAAACACCTACCAAGAAAGAAGAAAAACCTAAAAAGGAAGAAATTAAGAAAGAAGTGAAAAAGGAAGTGAAAAAGGAAGAGAGAAAAGAGTCTAAAAAAGAAGTAAAGAAAGAAGCTCCCCAAAAGGAAGCTAAAAAAGAAGCTAAAAAAGAGGAGAAAAAGGAAATTAAAAAGGAAGAAAAAGATGCCAAAAAAGATGCCAAAAAACTTCCTAAAGAAACAAAGAAAATACTTGCTCCTTCAACTGAAGCCCGAAAGCTGGTAACAAAGCCTAAAGCACAAAAGAAAGAAGAATCTGTTAAAAAGGAAGCTGGGCCTGCTGGAAAACCAAAGGAAAAAGGCAAAATTAAGACAGTAAAGAAAGAGAGTAAGGTCAGTGAGACGCAAGCTGCAGTGGGAGCGGTTGCTGCAGCAGCAGCCGCAGTAGCAGCTGCTGGGGTAGTAGCTAACGGAAAAGAACTTGAAGCTGAGAGATCTCTTATGTCTTCACCAGAGGATTTAACAAAAGACTTTGAAGAATTAAAGGCCGAAGAAGTAGAAATAGTAAAGGAAACAAAGCCTCAAGTAGAATTAATAGAAGGTGAAGGGAAACTAGCTGACACAGAACAAAAGGAAGCATATGAAATCCAGAAAGAAACCATAGATACTGAAGGACCTGCAGATTCTCCTGATGAAGGCATAACGACCACTGAAGCAGAGGGTGAATGTGAACAGACACCTGAAGAACTAGAGCCTGTTGAAAAGCACAGGGTTGATGATAATGAAAGATTTGAAGATGAAGGAACTGGTTTTGAAGAATCCTCAGAAGCTGGTGATTATGAAGAAAAGGCAGAGACTGAGGAGGCTGAGGAACAAGATGAAGGTGGGGAAGAGAAAGCAACACTGGGCATCACAAAACAGGATATAGATGTGACAATAGTAATGGGAGAGACTGATGCTGATGGACGTGCTAGAACTGAAGATAAATATGTTGAAAAGGCAGAATCTGAGGCAGGAGATGAGCGAGCTGAAGAAGATATGGAAGAGACAGTTGAAAAGGCAGAAACTGAAGAGACTGAAGAAGAAGCTGAGGAGGAAGATAAAACAGAGGATGTCAGAGATGAGGAAGAGGAAACTGAAAGAGTAGAAGCTGAAGAAGATTATGTTATGGCTGTAGTAGACAAAGCTGCAGAGGCTGGTGGAGTTGAAGATAAATATGGCTTACCCATAGTCACACCAACGAAACACTCTGAACCTCAGTCCCCAGCTGTTGAACCAGCATCTTCTATCCATGATGAGACTTTACCTGGAGGTTCTGAAAGTGAAGCAACTGTTTCTGATGAAGAAAATAGAGAAGACCAACATGAGGAATTCACTGCTACTTCAGGTTATACTCAGTCTACCATTGAAATATCCAGTGAGCCAACACCAATGGATGAAATGTCAACTCCTCGGGACATTATGAGTGATGAAACAAACAACGAAGAAAGTGAATCGCCTTCTCAAGAATTTGTAAACATTACTAAGTATGAGACATCACTGTATTCTCAAGAATATACCAAACCTAAACTATCTCCACTTCATGATACTTTCAATGGTTTATCTGAAGGATCAAAAACAGATGCCACAGAAGGTAAAGATTATAATGCTTCAGCTTCTACTCTCTCACCCCCTTCTTCATTAGAGGAAGACAGATTCTGCAAATCTTCCTTTCAAGAAATTTACGAACAAAGAGGAAATGAAATGAAAAGTACTAGTAAATTAGAAATCAAAGATACCTTTTCGGAGGCATTTGATGAAAAGCATAGCCCAGCTAAGAGTCCAGTTCAGAGTCCATCACTTCCATCACCAGTTGCTAAAACACCGCTAAGTGAACGTAGTGTGAACTTCTCCCTGACTCCCAATGAGATTAAGGCATCAGTTGAACCTGTAGTGCTCACTGCATTACCTGATAAACATCCAGAAGTCATTGAAGAGCATTGTGTCAGTCCAGATGATAAAACATTAGAAGTGGTGTCTCCTTCACAATCTGCTGCTGGTAGTGCAGGTCATACGCCTTATTATCAGTCTCCCACTGATGAAAAATCCAGCCGTCTTCCTTCTGAACTCATTGAAAAGGCAGCAGAGGCTCCAGTTAGTTTTGAGTTTAGTGATGCCAAAGATGAGACTGCAAAACCCACAATAAGCCCTATGGATGAGCCTGTGCCAGACTCGGAATCACCCATTGAAAAAGTTCTCTCTCCTTTACGAAGCCCACCTTTGATAGGTTCAGAGTCTTCCTATGATACTTTTTTGACTGCTGATGTAAAGTCAGCTGACAGACAATCTGAGAGTCATTTTGAGAGGAAAAGTGAAAAAGAAGAGTCTCCCGTTCAGATAAGCCCAGTTTCTGAAATCACCTCTGTGAAACTTTTCCAAGGACAGCAAGATGAAAAAAGTATGGCATTTACGACTGCTACAGGTTTTGGTCTAGAAAAGAATATGGAGGATATTGAAGCTGCTAGTACACAGTGTGCACTGGTTTTGGATGAAAGGAAGTTAGCAGGAGATGTGTCTCCTACCCAAATAGATGTTAGCCAGTTTGGATCATTTAAAGAAGACACTAAAATGTCAATTTCTGAAGGTACTGTCTCTGACAAATCTGCAACTCCTGTTGATGATGTTGTAGCAGAAGACACATATTCACATATAGAAGGAGTTGCTTCAGTCTCTACAGCCTCTGTTGCTACTAGTTCATTTCCAGAGCCAACTACGGATGATGTATCTCCTTCTTTACATGCCGAGGTTGGATCACCACATTCTACAGAAGTTGATGATTCTCTTTCTGTATCTGTTGTACAAACACCTACAATTTTTCAGGAAACAGAAATGTCTCCATCGAAAGAAGAATGTCCAAGACCCATGTCAATTTCTCCACCAGATTTTTCACCTAAAACAGCAAAATCAAGAACACCAGTGCAAGAGCATAGATCTCCTGAGCAGTCAACTATGTCAGTGGAATTCAGTCAGGAGTCCCCTGAGCAGTCTTTGGCAATGGACTTTAGCAGACAATCTCCAGAACATCCCACAGTAGACACTAGTGTACATCATATATCTGAAAATGGACCAACTGAAGTAGATTTTAGCCCTTCAGATACACAGGAACCTATTTTTTCACATAAGATCTCACCTGTGGAACAGACTTGTTATTCTCAAGAAAAGGATCTTTCAGAGATTATTTCAGTATCTCAGATAGAAGCTTCACCCTCAACTTCATCAGAGCATACACCATCACAGGTAGCTTCTCCTCTGCAAGAGGAAACTCTTTCAGGTGTCATGCCACCCAGAGATATGCCACTTCATTCTTCATTTACCTCAGAAAAGATGCAGAGCCTTGGAGAAAAGCTTTCACCAAAGTCTGACTTATCTCCATTAACTACAAGAGAATCTTCTCCTTTATTCTCACCTAGTTTTTCAGATTCACCTCCTGCAATCAAAGAAACAGCTCCTGCTTGCCACTCACCATCACTCTCACTTCATGTGTCCTCAGATAAAATATTTGGTTACCATGCCTCAGTAACAAATGACACAATGCAAGAATCTGTAAGAAAACATAGTCCAGAGACTTCAGCCTTCACAGAAAAAGATGAAACTGAAAAAATCACTAGATCACCTGAGGCCATTAGTTACTCTTATGAGACAACTGGAAAAACCACCAAGTCACCTGAAGCTCTTAGTTATTCCTATGAGGCAGCAGAGAAAACCACTAGATCACCAGAGGTCATTAGTTACTCCTATGAGACAACAGAGAAAACCACCAAGTCACTTGAAGCCATGGATTATTCCTGTGAGAGAACTGGGAAAACCACCAGGTCACCTGAAACTGTCAGTTATGCCTATGAGCCAACAGAGAAGACCACCATGTCATCTGAAGCTGTAGAATACGCGTATGAAAAAACTGGGAAAACCACTAGGTCACCTGAGACTGTCAGTTATGCCTATGAGCCAACAGAGAAGACCACCATGTCATCTGAAGCTGTAGAACACGCATATGAGAGAACTGAGAGAACCATCAGGTCACCTGAGGCTGTAAGTTACTCCTATGAGAGAACAGAGAAGACCACCACTATATCACCTGAAACTGTGGAATATTCCTGTGAGAGTACTCCTGTGGGATACACTTATGGGAAAACCACAGGATCACTTGAAACCATGGATTACTCCTTCGAGACAACTGGAAAATCACTGAGGTCACCTGAGGCTGTTGCTTATGCCTATGAAACACCTGGGAAAACCACCAGGCCATTTGAAGCCTTGGATTACTCCTTTGAGACATCTGAGAAATCAACAAGTTCACCTGAGGCTGCTGTTGGTTATGCCTATGAGACACCTGGGAAAACAAGGTCACCTGAGGCTGTTAGTTACTCCTATAAGACAGATAGACATTTTTCCGCAGAAAAATCATCTCTAGCAGAAACTCGTCAAGATGTTGATTTATGCCTTGTGTCTTCCTGTGAATACAAGCATCCCAAAACTGAACTTTCACCCTCATTTATCAACCCAAATCCCTTGGAGTGGTTTGCAAGTGAAGAGCAGTCTCAAGAACAAGAAAAGCCATTAACCCAGTCTGGAGGAGCCCAGCCACCTTCAGGAGGAAAACAGCAAGCACGTCAGTGTGATGAAACTCCTCCCACTTCTGTAAGCGAGTCTGCTCCATCTCAGACCGATTCAGATGTTCCTCCAGAGACTGAAGAATGCCCCTCAATTACTGCAGATGCTAACATTGACTCAGAAGATGAATCTGAAACCATTCCAACTGATAAAACAATTACATACAAACATATGGACCCTCCTCCAGTCCCAATGCAAGACCGCAGTCCTTCACCCCGGCACCCAGATGTCTCCATGGTAGACCCAGAAGCTTTGCCTGTTGATCAGAACTTAGGCAAACCTTTGAAGAAGGATTTGAAAGAAAAGACAAAAACTAAAAAGCAGGGTACAAAGACCAAATCTTCCTCACCTGCCAAAAAAAGTGATGGTAAATCAAAGCAGGTGGCTTCACCAAAGCCAGGTGGCTTAAAGGAATCTTTAGACAAAGTTTCCAGAACAGCTTCTCCAAAGAAGAAAGAATCTGTGGAGAAAGCAGCAAAAAATATGTCTATTCCAGAAGTAAAATCTTCCCGTGTTGAGGAAAAAGATAAGGAAGCCAAGAATGCAACAAATTCCACAACATCAAAGTCTGCAAAGACTGCAACTTCAGGTAAGGAAAGATCAGAACCTGTGTGTATCAGGAAAAGATGGATCAGATTCTCAGCCATGATAGTTGAACTATGTTGTTAATCTGAGAATCTGGTCTGTGAGGTACGTCTGAAGAAAATGGATGTTTGTGGAAAATCTATGGTATAAGGTTTCACATTTAAATTAAATTCACTGAATCAACTCTTCAGTCCAGAAAAAGCTAACAATTCAGAAATTTGCTCAGATATCCGACAGAGAGGAAGTGCATGAAATATAGTAATTATTATTTGTCCAATTTGTTAGGCAGCTGGCTAAGCTGAAGATTGCTATATGAAAAGTTAAATTACTAGTAAGCAACTATTTTCTTCGATATACACGTAATTTAGACACAAAATAGTAAAGTGAACAAGCCCATTAATTAGTTTGAGTTGTGTGAGTGTAATAAGAAATTAGATGAGTTTTACTGTTCCAGTGCATTATTCCTTATTAAGAATTCAGAACACTGGAAGTTATCTAAGAATGCACCTCCATAATGTCTGGCTACAATCTTATGATGGTGGTTTACTAAACTTAGACCATTTTCCTCCTGATGTTCCTGTGAATTCAAAGGAGCTGTAAATCACATTTACAGAGTAAATCATTGAGAAAGCACAATTCTTCTGCATGTCTTATACTGAGGGCTTATTGAACTCAAATATAATCTGCAATACAATGCCCTCTATCTTGCAGCTAGGAACCTACAGAACCTGGTATAAAATACTCTGGTTTTCAGTTGTCTGTACAAAAAATATAGTTAAAACAGAAATATCTCTATAGATATACGTACAACAAATTGGTCAATATCTGAATTTTTAAGTTGTATGTAGGATTTTACATTGTTGTATGGGTTAAGTACTTTTTCCTCTGATTTCTTCTAGACTATTTTACCCCACCCCTTTTACCCTTTTGTGCTAAATCAGAGGTAGAGAGAGGAGAATACAGAGAACCTTCTCTTTCACTGCTTCACCTGTGTAGAAGCTGTATGGTTATGATATGTTCCTAGCAAGCCATCGCTCCAATATCGGTAGCCTCCCTCTGCCAGTGCTACTACACTATATAATTGCAGAGGTATAGTTGGTATATCATTTTTGGAGCTGCAGTCAGATGAAGTCCATAGTAAATTTCATTTCCACCTAAAAGTCTTCCTGGTGTCAACTAAAAAATGTACTTCTGAGAACAAAAAAAATGTACAATGTATTTTGTGGTACTAGAACAGAAACTATTATTTTTTATGACATAAGATATGCAACAGCTACTGGAATATTGTATCCAGTTCTGGTGTCCCTACTTCAAGAAGGACGCGTCCTGAGTGATTAAAGAATTGGAAAATGTGCATTGTATTGAAAACCTCAAGGAGCTCAGTCTTGTTCATTTTAACAAAGATAAGGTTAAGGGATGACTTGATCAGTCTATTAACACCTACACGGGGAAAAATTGATAATAGTTTAGCAGACAAATGTATGACAAGATTCCGTAATTGTAAATTGAAGCTAGACAGATTTAGACTAGAAATAAAGTACAGTTTTATAACCGTGAGGATAAGTAGCCACTGGAACTATTTACCAAGGTTTGTGGTAGATTCGCCCTTACTGGACATTTTAAAATAATGTTTGAATGCTTTTCTAAAATTTATGTTTTAGTTCAATGACTGCTATTGGACTTAAAACAGAAATTAATCCAGGAAAATCCTATGGTCTGTGTTAAATACAGGCAGTCCCCGGGTTACGTACAAGATAGGGACTGTAGGTTTGTTCTTAAGTTGAATCTGTATGTAAGTCCTGTGCATGGTAATAGCAGTCTCATAAATTTTTGTTGGAATGTCAAGAATTTATACCTTTTTTTTTTTTTTCAATTAAAAACTTCTTTTGGGGACATGTGCATCCTAAGACTTGGAAGCATAATGGAACTTCCCCCAAATTTGACAATACAAAGCCAGATACTCATATTTAGGTTAGGTTGACCAGTATAAATGCCCAGTTGGCTAGCACAATTAGATGTTTGTTCATGCATATAGTTACTTAAACATGTAACTGTCTCCATCCTCATGAGCTGATTTCTGAGTATATACACCTCCATCAAATCTTTGTGCTCATAGGTGCCCAAACGGATGGGAACAACTGTACATGCGGTCTTAAAATTAATCCTATTTTGTTTTATTTTGCATACTGTTGCAGCAGTTTAGAAAAGATTAATTTTGAAATGTATATATGCCAACTGCATTCTTTCCTTTCAGATGTCGGGAGGACATATAGGGTTGGGTTGAGTTAGAATAAAGAAATGAAAACTAGAGGGGAAAATCTGCAGAAACGAGGAGTCTGATGGCACCTTAAAGACTAACTAACCAATTTATTTGGGTATACGTTTCAGGGGCAAAGAGCCAATTCATCAGATGCATCAAAGACTATCTTTACTCCTGATTTTTTTTCTGGTTCACTTGGGTGTTCTCTTCAGAAGGTTTCAGTGTAATCCGAGTTCCTCCCTCAAACACTGTTTCCTTTCACATTTAGATAGTTGCGTTGAAGTAAATGGAGCAGTTTACAAGCAGGATTGACTTCGAGTTATGACATTGATGTCTTGAAAAGAAAATGTGTCAGAGTTGTGTTATCAGGCATTCAAGAGAATTCTAAGGTCCCGTAGCCATGGCTGAACTGAAAAAAATGACATTTATCAAATTGTTATTCAGTAATCAAAGTGATTGGATAATTCTTGAATACTTAATGATCATTCTTGACCACCGTTCAAATGATTGCTCATACCTGTAAAGATTATTCTGATTTTTTTTCACCCAATAAAATATATGGGATATAATAAAGTTAAAGTATGACATTAGATATAATAGGGTAACAACATAAGCGCATCCATGTGCCCTGAAATATAGCAATAGATGTTTGACACGGGTACTCTCATTTAAAAAAAAAAAAATGTTACCTATAATAGTAGCTAACAATATATGTTTTCATCAATAATTGACAGGCTTTTGTGCTTACTTTAAAAGGACCTGGAAATAGTAAACCAACAAAAGCCACAGCTGTGCCTCCAGGACCTCCAGTGTACTTGGACCTAGTATATATTCCTAATCACAGCAATAGCAAGAATGTTGATGTTGAATTTTTCAAAAGGGTGAGGTCATCCTACTACGTGGTGAGTGGAAATGACCCTGCAGCGGAAGAACCAAGCAGGGTTGTTCTGGACTCCTTGCTGGAGGGCAAAGCACAGTGGGGAAGTAACATGCAGGTAGGCTTTCTAACAATATTTCTATTTATGAATTCAAATCATTTTTAAAAAACAATGACAGGACCAAGGAAGCTAGTAAGCTATGGCTCTTTGTTTAGAAGAGGTCTTTTCATGTACTGTAGATGAACACTCCTTCATTTCTTTTTTAATAAGAGTGACATATGAGAGAATTAGGTTTTGGAATCTTCCCAGCCTAGAGATATGATGAAAACACTTGCTCAGCCAAGCCCAAGGGTTCTTCGCAACAAGAGCAGGCTCTAGGGATTTAGCCAATTTGAGCTTCTCAGTGTGGACTAGGTATTTTATTATAGACACCCACGGTTTTAAAAATTAAGAAGTAATGCTCATATTCAGCAGATGTCAAATGCAGGAATACTGTGTATGTGTAAGCACAGCCTGGGATTTTTCAAGATACACAATGGTATAGGGCCAACATTAGTATATGGTCCATAAAAACAGTTTAAATCGATTAATTAAAATCCATTTGATAGCTGATGTTATATTCTGTGGTATCTTCAGGTGTCCTTTCTTCAGAGTAGAAAATAATGTATTCATCTTCAGCCTTGATATTTTCCAGTTAGCATCAATACCTTCTAGTGACATAATAAAGTAGAACCTCAAAGTTACAGACACAGCGTTACAAAATGATCAACCAATCACACACCTTGTTTGAAATCAGAAGTACTCAATCAGGCAACAGCAGAGAAAAAAAGTACAGTACCATGATTGACCTAGACTACATTTTTCTTCTATACAGTAACGTTTCAAAACTGGATTAAGTCAATGTTCAGTTGCAAACTTTTGAAAGAACAGTGTTTTGATCAAACAACCTCCATTCCCAAAGTGTTTGAAACTCTGAGATTCTGTTGTATTAAAACGTGTTTGAAGATTCATGTCAATGATGCAACACTTAAAGATTAACAAACTGTCCTTTCTTGTACAATTTTCCACAATAGCTGGTGTAATAAGCATTCAGTTAAAATTATTATGTTGTTGTTCTTATTTACAATAAGCTTCCATAGATTATGCAAATTCCTTGTAATTAAGCAGTGCAGTTTAGCAAATAACAGTTTTATTTTTCTGTGTCCAGTTAATTTGATATCCAGATAATTTGCAATCTTTATTTATTATAATTTCCAGTTCTTTCTTTCATTCTTTCAGTATTGGCTCTTTTGTCTGAATGCCAAATCTGTCATCAAAATAAATATCAGAGAAGACAGGAAACAACTTTCTTGTGTTTTTCATGAGGAACAGAGATCATACATTTGGCAACTCAAATTAATAAAATTAAACAGTTTTATTAAAATGTTGCCTCCAATGCCATCCTGTTAAACTTCTTTCCTAAAGAAAAAAGCAGGAACTCAACATTATTTATTGTAAATTCCCTGTATAGAAGGATATATTTTTAAGGATCAGTACTCATAGGAATTATTATTATTATTAATTATTATTATTTTATTTATTAATGAAAATTGCAGAAGTGTCTAAAAGCCAGCCAAAATAGGGCCCCATCATACTATTTTCTGTACAAATACTGAATAGCAGATGACCCATGCCCCAAATAATTTACAATGTAAGTAGAGGAGATAGTCGCTGGGTAATGTAAGGAAAATCTACTTGTTGATTACAACTTAGCATGAAGATTCTGTTTTCACAAGTTGTTTTTCTGTCCACTCCTAAAGAGTTTTTCTATTGCATATTATAGGTAACCTTAATCCCAACCCATGATTCAGAAGTGATGAGGGAATGGTACCAAGAGACCCATGAGAAACAGCAGGACCTCAACATCATGGTTTTGGCAAGCAGCAGCACTGTTGTTATGCAAGATGAATCTTTCCCTGCATGCAAGATTGAACTGTAGAAACAAGGCCACACCACAGCATTAAACTTTATTTCCAGAAATTCTTCCGTTTGAAAATACCTTTTCTAAAAATTCAACCCATCTAATTCAACTGCTGAACTATATACCTGCCAAATGCTATACTGTGTCTCAGTGATGCAAGTCACTAATATTTTCCAGTCTTTGCTGATTGCTAAGGGAAATAACAGTATTCCCAAAGTAGGGTTCAGATTACTGCAAAATTACAGATCCTGGTTCATCTCTGCTGAACATTTGGAAACCATGCACTAGCAAACCCAACTGACTTCTGCCAGGTAGAGGCATTTGCCCTCGAAAGAAACAGAGAGAGAGAGAAATAGAGAGAGGGGTAGGAGGAGAATGTATAATTAATTGGGTCTGCATTAGATGTATTGCTTACTGCAGTCTGTTTATGCTCTCACATGGAAAGTTTTAAATTTGTATCAGTCTGAGTTATATGAAAAGGGGCCTTAGTTTACAATATTATGTGAGCTGAAATATAAAAGGAAACTGAATGTGGCTTTGAAGGGACGTAAGATCTAAACACTCATTAGCCATTCACTAATTTGAACTCTACATACTGACATAACATAATTATAGTTTAAATATGCAAGTAGTTTGAACCCCATTCAGAACTCTAAAACTTTTCTTTTAACATGGAAACATGTTGATCTAAGGCATGCTCCCAATGAATAACCATGTAGTCCACTGAGAATTGATACACCTGCATGCTTAAACACCCAAGTCAACAGCCAATTTACTGAAGCAAAATACCAAAGCAGTTGGGGAGTATATACAGTAGACAAATTGCCTTAGAAAGTGACTTGAATGTACAAAGATACTTAATGCACTTATTTTTTAATGTGAGACAGCAAGTTTATAAACATCTGTGTAGGATTATAGTTACACCAGTAAAGAAGTGTGAGTGTGCATGTGTGGTACTAGAAGCCTATCTGATTGGTCAAACAACTTGGTACTAGAATTATGTATGTTAGCTGAACACTTCATTGGTACACCTGGACATCTCAACAAAATGGGACAAGCATTTTTGAAAGCTTCTTTTTTACTGCAGGAGCAAGATTGAAGTTGTGTCCAGTATCAGAAATGCAAATCAGAAGTGAAACACAGTATACTGAAAATGGTTTTCAGCGAGTCTGTACAGTATTTTATCTTCCTTTGTCTTACGTTGTTTTATTTGTTAATTTAAGAATGAATATGGGAACAAATGTACAGAAGAATTTTTTTTAGCTCTGTGAACTTTTAATAGATGACTTTTTAACAAAAGGTTTTGTTTACAGGAAAATGCAAAGAAAAAATTTCAGGTGAAGGCAATTTTTTTAGTAGTTTTGTAAGAAAAATACATAATGTTGTTTGAGGTTCTGGTGAGAATGAAGTATGATATTGCAGTAACATATTTATTGAAAACATTTAACTGCCAAGAATTTGAGGGGAGGAAGCCCCCTAATGATTAGATTAATCTACTAGTGCTCACAAAAAATAGGAGTTGAAATGCCAGTTGACTATAATTTATAAATTGGTAGTTAGATTCACAGTTCTCCCAAGAGCTTTAAAAAGATTGAAAAAATGCAATGATTATCTTAAGTAAGACAACCAGAGGTTTGAGGGTTTTTGTATGTGTGTGTGTTTGATTTTTCTTTAAATTGTTCCCAGTGTCTACAGATCATTTCAAAGGGATAACATACAGATCAGTTCCCCTGTTTAAGAGAGTTTGGACTCTTAAGTCTCAGAAGCTTTACCACTATAGAAAATATTGTTAAATTTCAGTTTGCAGGCTTATACATCAGAATTTCAATAAAGTAAAGGCCTCTCAAAACTGAGATTTGTTTTGGACTGTACAGTTCACCTTTATGGTAGGCTTTGAGTTCTACTAGGTAGTGAATAAAAGACCTCATTTTATTTTCTTTATGTGTAATGTATTTTAAATGTTAACATTGTGAGTTTTATTTTTGTTTGGTAGGTGTATGTTTGCACTGCTAATTTTAAGGGGGTTTTAATACTACTTCAGATCCCTTTTAAATCGGGGCCCTTGTAGCCCATTTAATGCTGTGAATTACTGTTTGTCATATGTTGTGTGTGGGGTTTGTTTTAATATTTTTATTAGATATCATTAGCAATTCTGTTTTATTTATTGGTTTACCTTTTATAGATCCTTGAAAATAACTCAGAATGATTATGGTACAAAAGACAAAGGGAAATGTGTTGTGAAAACAAGTGGAATTTGCTGAGCTCATAATCATTTACTTAACATTTATTTTGTCTAGAAAGTGAATGGCAAAATAGTTATTCTACCACGGTTCTTTCTGATTTATCTACTCTCTCATGTAGGTAAGATTTCAGACAGTTTGGGTTGGAGGAGCAAATTTCTGATTCTCCCCAAAAACTGGAAGTAATTTGTTTCTCTACTTTGATAGAAATTCTAATTAACAATGAGCAAAATCAGAAACAAGCTTTAGCTCTCCAACTCCCCAAGTAAATATGTAACAGCTCAAATAATTGTTTTACTTAAAGTCCAGTTACAGCCAATCTTAAACTGTACTTCGATTTTTTGCTGCTACAGAATTTTTTTTAAGTCAGCTGGTTTGAATCAGCTGACATATTTCTTATGAAATATTCGTAATAATTGTTCCAGCTACTCTTCTAAATGACAACTAAGCCTGAGTGTTATTAACTTCCCAATTAGCTCCTCTTGCCCTTAATGCCTTTCCTGCCTGTGTAACTAATCTAATTGTGCTAGTCATAGTCATACACAATTAGTTTAGTAACAGTTATCAGAATGTACCATGTACATTAATGGTGAGCGCTGTTGATCAGCACAGATTTCTAGGAGCATGGTTTGATATTGATTACTCTAATTATAAAGATTCGATATCTGAGTGTAAAGAACACTCTACTTAAATGATGGTGTTACCCATGACAGCATCCCCAATCATGACCTTTATAGTAGTACTTAACTGCTGAATAAAATCCAATGAAGAATTAGCATTGGAGATCACATCCATTTCCAACCTTAATCAGATCCCATTGCATGCCTTCTCAAAGTCTCGTGGTGGGGCTGACTACATTGTACTTCTCCCTTTAATTCTGTCTCCCATTGAGTTCACTCTGGATTTTTTTTAATTACGTTACATACTGTGGTAAAAGCATCCAACTATGTATATGGATTTTTTAAAATTGTCTAGCTTATATGGTTTAGGAGACTTCCAGAACCCATTTATTAAGATTTAATAGTTTTGTCAATGGAATTTTCCACCCTTCCCACCACAAGAAATTCAGCTGCAAGGAACTATTACTGTGCATTTTTGAAGTTTCTGTCACATGCCTCTTTATTCATCTGTCACTGGAGGTTCTTGCTCAGTGATGACATTTTGAGAGAAATGGTAATTTTTTTGGTCTGGATTTATTAGAAAAGGGAAAACTATCATGTTTACACTTAAAAGAAACTGTAAACTTTCATCTTTTCACTTAATTGAACAAAAACACTAAAAACAACCTAACGACAAGCATTTCTTTGAATGCAATTATGTTATTCACCTGATTAAAAATGTTTGCTATTTTAAAAAAAAATCTGTTTGTTGTGACTTTACAAAAAAATCAAATAACCTAAATAAAAAGGCAGCATTAAAAAATATTGAAAAGAAAGGAAAAAAGGAAAAAAAAAAAAGCTTCTCTGCACTTAACTAGCTAGGCGCTCCAGATGTCAGGAGCTATCCATATAATTCATTCAAGACTGGGCTGTAATCACAACAGTAGAAGAGCAATTATGAAGTACAATATGCTTTCACATGTTTGCATGCAGCCATATATCTTCCAAACTATGGAAAGAAACAGTCTTGTTGCCAGCTGAGAAGCACCTCACACACTCCTCTCTCTTGTTCTGAATGGTGTTTGTGTCAGTCTGCAGCTGTGTATGGTAATATGTCTTATAATCCTGCATCACTTCTATTCTATCCAGTCATATCTAATGTAGAAAAATAGTTTCCAGTGAAAGTAAGATGTAGTGCTTTTATGATATTTGTGTGCAATATCCCCTCTTCCATTGAGGATATTTGATGTAAAGGAAACAAACTCAGTTCCACAATAAAATACAAAAGTGATGAAGTGGTGTTGGTATGTTTCTTGTCTTTGTGTTGTAAGTGTGAATTTATGCATTTGCCAGGCTTCCTGTTAGATTTTAAAGCCAAAATCTAACCAACTTAATCTATAATTGGTTCCATGTTACAGCTAGGGAAATTGAGGCAAAGGGAAGTAAAATCAATTGCCCAAGATCATTCCTAGGCCCTTGGCAGAGATGGGAATTGACCCAAGGTGTTTTACATCCCAGTCTAATGCCCAATCTACTAGCCCACACTAGAGCTATAAATTAGACTCCAATAGGCTAACCCTTTTTCTGGGGCTAGGGCGTGTTCACTTCCTAGTTTAATTCTAGGTTCTCTTAAGATCAACTTTCAACTTTGAACAGTGTTTCTCAAAGCAGGTCGCTTGCTTATTCTTAACCAACCCAACAGTTTATTTCACCCAGAAGCATATTAATGTATAGTTCATTACTCAAATGTAGACACAACTGATTGTGTATACTATATACACAATATAGGCTTGCAAACAGCTGACACAGACTACAGTTGAGACTCAGCAGTTCTATGAAGGAACAATGCATATTACCTAGATTTTTAAATTGCCTTTACTAATGATCATCAGTTCTTTAGTACTAACACTTTCATCACATGTCCATGGGTGCACTTATCTTTAAGGCACATTGAAGAGTGGTTACTGCTCTTTGACCAAACTGGTTCAAAAGGGACAAGTTTGGAATATTATAAGCAATTTCTTCAAGTTACGGTTTTCAAGCTTTCTGAAGCTATGTCTACACTTTTTCACTGTGCTTTTGCTGTGTGGACGCTCTTAAGTTTTTCTGGAAGATCTCTTCTGGAAAAGCTGCTTCCGAAAGAAGTAGTCTAGATGTACCCTTAGAGAAATTGGCTCAGATTTACAAAGGAGTCAGAATCTAACATATGGTTATTTGAGGCCTAATGAGAGAGTATAGGCCACTTGTCAGCAGCCTTCAGCATGTAGCCCTTTGGGATAATCCACTGGTGAGCCGTGAGGCATTTTGTTTGCGATGACCATCTGCTGACATGGTGCCCCATAGGTTCCAGTGTCCATTTTTCAGCATTCTTGGACAACTGAAACTGCAGGAAGCGATGGCCAGCATGTCGCTACAACCTATGCCACTTCCACTGCTCTCATTGGCTACGTCTAGATTGGCATGATTTTCTGGAAATGCTTTTAACGGAAAAGTTTTCTGTTAAAAGCATTTTCGGAACAGAGCATCTAGATTGGCACGGACGCTTTTCCGCAAAAGCACTTTTTGCAGAAAAGAGTCCGTGCCAATCTAGATGCGCTTTTCCGCAAAAAAACCACGATCGCCATTTTCACGATTGGATCTTTTTTGTGGAAAACAAATCTGAGCTGTCTACACTGGCCCGTTTGCACGAAAGCTTTGCGCAAAAGGGACTTTTGCCTGAACGGGAGCAGAATAGTATTTCCGCAAGAAGCATTGATTTCTTACAGTAGGAAGTCAATGCTTTTGCGGAAATTTAAACGGCCAGTGTAGACAGCTGGCAAGTTTTTCCGGAAAAGCGGCTGATTTTCTGGAAAAACTGGCCAGTCTAGACACAGCCATTGAGTTGAGTGGAGTGGGGCATAGTAACTTGTTATTGGAAGGGTGTTCCATCACAGATGGAGTGGTAGGGAAGTAGATATAGTGGGATGAAACGAATGAAAACTGATTGCACATAAAAAAATGTGCCTGGTGGAGAGATCTATCAGACTGTGAAATTAAACTATCTGGGATAAGCCTTACTCTTAGGTGTCTATAATTTCACCACTAAGCTATAAAATACACAACTACAGTGTCTGTGGAATGACCTGGCTTGAGCACGGCAGCGTAAGAGCAAAATGAAAACAATACAAGGAAAGTCAAATATAAATCTTGAACTTGAACCACTTCTGTGACATGCTTATATGTTGTCAGACCTATGCAAGTTTCACATGAGTGAGGCTGCCGTTAACACATAGGCACTGAGGAAGATGCAGGCTCAGCCTCCGTTCCAAGTTTCACTGAAGTAAATCCAAAATTACAGCACTGATTTAAGTGGTATTACTCTGGATTTATATTGGTGTTACTGAGACTAACATTTGACCTCTAGGCTATGTCTACACTGGCAGTTTTTTGCACAAGAACACCTGTTCTTGTGCAAACTTGCCTACTGTCTACACTGCATGTGCATTCTTGCGCAAGTAAATTTACAGTATAGTGTTGTAAAACAGGGCTTCTTACATGAGTAATAAGCCCTCTTGCGCAAGGGTTCTTCCACCAGAGGGTAGTATAGACAGGCAACAGGAATTTCTTGTGCAAGAAGCCTCTATGGTTAAAATGACCATCAGAGCTTTCTTGCACAAGAGAGCATCTACACTGCCATGGATGCTCTTGCACAAAAGCACATTTCTTGCGCAAAAGCTCATGCCAGTGTAGATATGCTCTTGTGGAAGACATTTTGCACAAGAACTCTTCCACAAAATAGTTCTTGCACAAGCAGCTGCCAGTTTAGATGTACCCTGCGCATCACCAAGCAAAACACTATGGCTAAGTGAATTCATTTTTCCACCCTGCTGCAGACCTCATGTTGTGCTTTTATAGACTATAAAGCAGCTTTTACATTTTTACTGATGTTAACTAATATTTCACCTGGTTGTAAAGTATTTTTGAATGTCATTGGACTATAATAGCCTGGGGGTTTCATCTTCAGATGCATCCAGAATCTGTTGGGTGCAACTGAAATGGGAAAGCCATGTGCTTCTACACAAATGCTAGGAGTCTGACTAATAAGATGGGTGAACTAGAGTACCGCATATTAAAGGAGGAGATTGACATAATAGGCATCACTAAAACCTTGTAGAATGAGGAAAATCTGTGGGACAAAATCATACCGGGATATAAAATATATCGGAAGAATAGAGCAGGCTGAGTGGGTGGCAGAGTGGCACTATATGTGAAATATAATGTAGAATCAAATGAAATATTAAATGAATCAGAAGAACATAATTTGTTGGACAAAAGTCAACATGGTTTCTGTAAAGGGAAATCATGTCTTACTAATCTATTACAGTTCTTTGAAGGGGTTAACAAACATGCAGACAAGGGGGATCCAGTAGATATAGTATACTTAGATTTTTCAGAAAGCCTTTGACAAGGTCCCTCACCAAAGGCTCTTGTGTAAATTACATTGCCATGGGGTAATGGGAAGGTCCTTTCATGGACTAAGAACTGGTTAAAAGACAGGAAACAAAGGGTAGTAATAAATGGTAAATTTTCAGAATGGAGAGGGGTGTCCCCCAAGGGTCAGTCCTGGGACCAATCCTGTTCAACTTATTGATAAATGCTCTGAAGAAAGGGGTAAGCAGTGAGGTGGTAAAGTTTGCCAATGATACCAAACTGTTTAGGATAGTCAAGACAGAAACAGACTGTGAGGGACTCCAAAAAGATCTCACAAACTGAGTGATTGGGCAACAAAATGGCAAATGAAATTTAATGTTAAATAGTGTAAAGTAATGCACATCGGGAAAAATAACCCCAACTATACGTACAGTGTGATGGGGGCTAATTTGGCTATGACAAATCAGGAAAGAGATCTTGGAGTTATCGTGGATAGTTCTCTGAAAATTTCCACACAGTGTGCAGCAGCGGTCAAAGAGGCAAATAGGATGCTAGGAATTATTAAGAAAGGGATAGAAAATAAGACCCAGAATATCTTTCTGCCCCTGTATAAAACTATGGTAAGCCCACATCTTGAATATTGTGTACAGATGTGGTCTTCTCACCTCAAAAAAGATATTTTGGCCTTGGAAAGGGTTCAGAAAAGGGCAACTAAAATGATTAGGGGTTTGGAATGGGTCCTATATGAAGAGAGGTTAAAATGTCTACGACTTTTCAGTTTAGGAAAGAAGAGACTGAGGGGGGATATGATAGAGGTCTATAAAATCACAAGTGGTGTGGAGAGGGCGAATAAATAAAAGTTATTTATTAGTTCCATAATAGAACTAGAGGACACCAAATGAAGTTAATGGGTAAAGGTTTAAAACTAATAAAAGAAAGTTCTTCTTCACACAGCGTGTAGTCAACCTGTGGAACTCCTTGCCAGAGGAGGCTGTGAAGGCTAGGACTATAACAGAGTTTAAAGAGAACTAGATAATTTCATGGAGGTTAGGTCCATAAAAGGCTATTAGCCAGGTGGTAGAAATGGTGTCCCTGGCCTCTGTCAGAGGCTTGAGAAGGATGGCAGGAGACAAATCACTTGATCATTGTCTTCGGTCCATCCTCTCTGGGGCACCTGGTGCTGGCCACTGTCGGCAGACAGGCTACAGGGCTAGATAGACCTTTCGTCTGACCCAGGATGGCCGTTCTTATGTTCTTATGTGTGGCGTCGCAATACTTCAGCCAGCCTGGGCCGTTGACTACCCTAGTACAGAGTTGACCTGCTCCAATCTATGGCTAGTTGTCTATGCCTTATACGGGGGTGGAGGGGAGGATGATAAATAAGAGTACCATAAGTGCTCACCTAGGGAATGTACTACATTGAAGATTATGGGGCAGGAGGTGAGGGAGGCAACATGGCAGTCCCTGTGCATTCTAGGCCAGCTAGAGACTACTCAGGTTAAGTGTTTCCTGAGGTTTTAAAATTTCAAATCAGTATAATAGTTTAGCTATAGGGATAAGGAGCCAATTTTGTTCTGTTACCACACCGTACGCACTCCTAAGGTAAGTCAGTGGTATGCCAAGCATAAGCCTGCTGAGAATAGCTTGGCTGCTGATTCACAAACATGGCAAGAAACAAGGCAAAGTTGTACCGTGATGATTGTCCCTAAATGACATGGGAAACATTTTAAAGAGTCATTGGTAAGCCTGGTTACTTTGTTGGCTTTCCGCTCTAGCTCAGCAATCAACTAAAGAAAGAGAGGCGCGACCAGGAACAGCTAACAGGAGAGTTTGGAGAGGGAGTTCTCCAGGTAAAAGAGGAGTAAAAACGGGACCCTTGTGGTAT